AGGCAGATGACACAACCTTACTTGCTGAAAGTGAAGAGGGCTTGAAGCACTTACAGGTGAAGATGAAAGACCACAGCCTTCAGTATACATTACACTTCAATATAAAGAAAACAAAAATCCTCACAACTGGACCAATAAGCAACATCATGATAAACGGAGAAAAGATTCAAGTTGTCAAAGATTTCATTTTACTTGGATCTGCAATCAACACCCATGAAAGCAGCAGTGAAGAAATCAGATGATGCATTGCATTGGGCCAATCTGCTGCAAAAGACCTCTTTAAAGTATTGAAGGGAAAGATGTCACCTTGAAGACTAAGGTGTGCCTGACCCAAGCCATGATGTTTTCAGTCATCTCATATGCATGCGAAAGCTGGACGATGAGTAAGGAAGACCGAAGAAGAATTGGCACCTTTGAATTGTGTTGGTGAAGAATATTGACTATACCATGGACTGCCAGAAGAACGAACAAATCTGTCTTGGAAGAAGTACAGCCGGAATGCTTCTCAGAAGCAAGGATGGTGAGACTATGTCTTATATACTTTGGACATATTATCAGGAAGGACCATTCCCTGGAGAAGGACATCATGCTTGGTAAAGTAGAGGGTCAGTGAAAAAAAGGAAGACCCTCAACGAGATGGGTTGATACCATGGCTGCAAAAATGGGCTCAAGCATAACAACGATTGTGAGGATGGTGCAGGACCAGGCAGTATATTGTTCTGTTGTACATAGGGTTACTATGAGTCACTACTGACTCGACGGCACCAAACAACAACAGTTGTGATACTGTTCCCAACAAGGAATGCACGTCAGACCTAAAGGAGGAGGGTGTACTAAGGACCTAGAGATGACCAGCATGGGAAGAGCAATTTTTTTCATATCCCCATCTGCCCATCCAGAATCCAGTGTGTTTCTGAACAATGCCTCAGAAAGGGGTCTCCCATGTTTGTAATGAAGGGGAGCTCGTTTTTGTTTCCCTGGGGTCTTGAGATTACTATAGGAAGGGTGCTGCATGCAGCAAGGAAAGGGACTCCCAGCTGGTGGCTCTCCTTCCACACTGGACATCCACACAGGACTTCAAGCTCGGCAGGTTGGGACACCTGCCTTGGAATCCAACTTAGTGCAAACTAGGGGATGTAACTGAGCCTAGACATGCCCTGCTGTGACCTTTCAGCATCTTTGGCTGTTGATTCTTTTCTGTCTTCTAAAAATGGAGGCCTTGACCTTCCCTGCAAGGTCTATCCTGTGTAGGGCAACCACAGTCCTACCTTTGGTGTTGGTGCTGCTCATCCTTCTTTCTGAACAGCATTAAAATTAAATTTAGAATTTTCTGTTTATTATTAATGGTATCCCAAGGGTCTCTGAAAGATGCCAACAATATATCCTTCTTTCAGGTAGATTGTCTTGATTTGTTCCTTCTTCCCCAGTGGTTGAGTTGCAAGAGGCCTGCATCTTCCCAGGAAGCCTCTATTCCCCAGCCTCCTTTCCCCACAAGTCCTCCCAAGGGCTCACTGAGACTCTGGAGCTGTCATCCCCAGTTGTTGAAAGATCAGAGAATGAGGAAATACGGTAACTGGCATTTTAATGTCCGATTGTATTGTGGACAAAACAGCTTGAACTTGTACTTTTATCCTAGAAGCTTTGTTTTAAAGTTTTATTATTGCTGAGCTTTTATAGCTAATAAATAAAATGTAGAACTGAAAGAAAATGCAAACCAGTCACATTTCACCAAAATCCTATTGAAAGGAAGAAGTCTTACAATGACAGTGAGGTTGCCCACAAAAGATGCACTGTGACAGCCACACAAGTAGCCCCTGAACAAAGGGCCCACAGCCCCGAGGACACATGTCTGCAGTCTGTCCAATATTCCACACTGTAAATGCTTCTTTGCAAAAATAATAGGCTGGTTTGGAATCTTGAACAGCAGGCCAGTGGTGGCTGTGACTTTGGTTTGGGTTTTCCCACTAGATATTCTAAGAAACTCACCAAATCTAATGCACTGGATTCTACACATTTTTTTTTTTTATCATCTTTCCAGCCTTCTTTCTTAAAATCAATTTTATTAAAATTGGATTTTTTATAAAGTAACCACAAAATCGCATCCCTCTCAACCATGATGCAGCTCCAAATACAATGTGTGTGTTGTGTTATTGTTAAGTGATACGCCTTACAGCCAACCTGTGGGTTGGTCATAAGACCCAGAGGCTTTCATTGGGGTTTCCTTAAGTCTGTATTCATGTAAAGTTTATACTACTTACCTTAAGTTTTCGCCCCAATACCAGTCGTGAAAGGGGGTGGGGAGCAGTTCTTCACTTTGGCAGTTCTTCACTTTAGATTTTCATGAAATGTTGGGGAGGGTAAGAGGTTTTTAAATGGTGTGCCATTGATCAAAAACTTTGTTTTGCTGTTAGGTTGCATCTGATACCCGAAGGAAAGCACAACCTGCATTTACGTTTTGCAAATGAATTCAACAACCTAGTAGAAGACTTCCTACAGTGAAATATCATTGAGAAGTTTTGTGAGTCCTGGTGATTCCTTGGCGTGGAGCCTTGATCATGTTGTTGCCTGTGATCCTTACCTTTGAAATCCCAGCCGAGTCCCACCTCAATTCACCTGCCTTCCTGGGCTCTCCACACCTGCTACTCACTACTAGTGATCAATGTGGATTGCTCTAAAAGCAAGCAATAATGACAGTGAAGACATTCTCTAGTTTTAATAGCTATAAAAAAAAAAAGTCTGATTTTTAACACTAAGTTATAAATTTCTACCATTGTCTTAAAATATATATTCCTACCATGATTTGTTTTACTTTCAAATAAATTTTTTCAGTCTGACCATTTGTAGTGTTCATGACTGCTATTTTAGGAGACCTTGAACTTACACCGTGCCTTTTATCTGAGAAGTACAAGCATTCACTTCCTTTTCCTTATATTTATCACATCAAGGAGAAAAAGAGTAGAAGAAAATCTTTAAGTTCCTCGCTTTACAGACCCATAGACTACCTGGGGCTACAGCAAACAAGGGAGTAAGTTTGCTTTATCTCCAAATCACTCTTCACACCTCGTTCACTTTTTTGTGTATTTTTTTAAATCTTATGTTTTTTATGTTCCTGGTTCACTTTTGAGACATCTCCTTACTTCAACACTTTGGGCCAGTGAATATTACAGAGTCTGTATTTTTATCTATCTTTATTAAAAGGGCAGAACCCTTGCCGTCAAGTCGATTCCAACTCATAGCGACGTTATAGGCAGGAAGGCTATTAATTAAAAGTAGAAATCCTATGCTGTTGCTAAAATTATTAAACCCTGAAACTTTATACTTAAAAAATAGTAAAAATAAATGTATTTCAAGTGAAAATGAAGAGACCACAATGCATTGGACACATGCTTTTTATTAGTGTAGATATCTTAACAAACAATACCATAATTGTTAGACAGGTTCCACATATTTCATCAACAGTGTGAACTTCTGACAGAGGCAAAACTGAGCACCATAGTATACAAAGACCGACCATGCTTGAGGACAACAGTAGAAGTTCACTAAGGATGCACAATTTAGTCAGTTCTTAAGCCTCATCCTCACCCTCCTCCTCCTCCTCCTCGAACTCCCCTTGCTCATCGGCTGTGGCGTCCTGGTACTGCTGGTACTCGGACACCAGGTCGTTCATGTTGCTCTCGGCCTCGGTGAACTCCATCTCATCCATGCCCTCGCCCGTGTACCAGTGCAGGAAGGCCTTGCGCCGGAACATGGCCGTGAACTGCTCCGAGATGCGCTTGAATAGCTCCTGGATGGCTGTGCTGTTGCCGATGAAGGTAGCTGACATCTTGAGGCCACGGGGTGGGATGTCGCACACAGCCGTCTTCACGTTGTTGGGGATCCACTCCACAAAGTAGCTGCTGTTCTTGTTCTGCACGTTGAGCATCTGCTCGTCCACCTCCTTCATGGACATGCGGCCCCGGAAGATGGCGGCCACGGTCAGGTAGCGGCCATGGCGGGGGTCGCAGGCAGCCATCATGTTCTTGGAGTCGAACATCTGCTGGGTGAGCTCGGGCACAGTCAGGGCCCGATACTGCTGGCTGCCCCGGCTGGTCAGGGGGGCAAAGCCGGGCATGAAGAAGTGCAGCCGGGGAAAGGGCACCATGTTCACAGCCAGTTTGCGGAGGTCTGCATTCAGCTGGCCTGGGAAACGCAGGCAGGTGGTGACCCCGCTCATGGTGGCCGACACCAGGTGGTTGAGGTCCCCATACGTGGGGGTGGTCAGTTTCAGAGTACGGAAGCAAATGTCATACAGGGCCTCATTGTCGATAGAGTAGGTTTCATCTGTGTTCTCCACCAGCTGGTGGACAGACAGGGTGGCGTTGTAGGGTTCAACCACGGTGTCTGACACCTTCGGAGAAGGCATGACGCTGAAGGTGTTCATGATGCGGTCAGGGTACTCCTCCCTGATCTTGCTGATGAGCAGTGTGCCCATCCCAGAGCCAGTGCCACCCCCCAAAGAGTGGGTCAGCTGGAAGCCCTGGAGACAGTCACAGCTCTCAGACTCCTTCCTCACCACATCCAGCACAGAGTCCACCAGCTCTGCTCCCTCTGTGTAGTGGCCCTTTGCCCAGTTATTGCCAGCACCGCTCTGGCCTGCCAGAGGGAAAGGAGAAGATTAGACACTAAAATGTAAGGAGCTCTGAATTCACTGTCATTTGACTTTGGAGGAGAAGTAAGACTAGTCTTTGAGTTGCAGATTCTTCTCTTTTTGATTTCCCCTTTTTACCTAGAGAAATATTTTTTGATGTTATCAGTGACCCTCAAAAACACCAGGGATCATAATAAAGTAAAAAACAAGTTTCATATATGTGAGGCTATCAATTGAGAAAGCAGAGAGGTTTAATGAACCCAGCTGCTTTTAATTTTAAGCCAGCTGCTTTTAATTTCGAGAACAGTGGATAAAGACCTCATGTAAATACCCAAGTTATGTAGAATAGGCAGGGGCGAAGGTACAAGATGATCAAACAGCAGAGACTAGCTCTAAGCAGTTGTCTGAACTTTGGTCCTAACCGGTTTTTTTTTTTTTGGTCTCTTTAAGTGGTTACCTGTTGTCATTGGTCCTTTGAAATGACCAGTAGCCTATGAACTATTATTGTCTGAAGCTTTCACAATGCTCTTTATTCTTAAACCTTCAGAGGTTTAATGGGAAGACTAGGCAGTCCACCACAAGCTAAATCTTTCTTTGAGCTGTGGAGTGGCCAGAGAGCAGTCACTCTCGACTGGATGGAGGAGCCCAAGACTCAGGATGTCTGTGAACACACAGTCCTCTACCTCAGCACGCACCACTCAGCACTGTGATATTCATGGTTTTAGGAAGAAGAGGAATCATTTAGCCAGTTCCAACTGATCATGACTACGTACCAAAGACGAAGTTGTCTGGCCTGAAGATCTGGCCAAATGGCCCAGACCTGACTGAGTCCATGGTACCAGGCTCCAGATCCACCAGGATGGCCCGTGGCACGTATTTGTTACCTGCGCAGGACAAAAGCTGGAATTAGACCTATGGCTAGCAAAGGGATCACAGGAGAAGGCTGTGCCCCACCCATGTGACTTTCCTGTCGGGGTTCATCAGAGAAAATTCCAGCAGCTGAGACAAAATAGGAGAATAGAGTTTTTCTGCTTTCAAAACGGATACATTTAGCATGTTCAGCCATGTCAAACAAGCAGGAGTTTTAAGGAATGATACAGTGTATTCTTCAGCAGTTGGCATTAAAATAAGTGCAAGAAGCATTTCTTTGTCACATGGATGTTCTGAATACGTAAGTTTCCACAGTATGAAAAGCAAGGTTGATTAGACAAAAACGTTCAAATAATTACCAGCAGCTTCATTGTAGTAGACATTGATTCTCTCCAGCTGCAAGTCACTGTCGCCATGGTAACTGCCAGTGGGGTCAATACCATGCTCATCGCTGATGACCTCCCAAAACTGAAATTAAAAAGAAGGAAAAGGAATGACATAATAGTGTGGTCTCCTAAATGTCACTCACCATGGCCATTTTCTTCCTCCTTCCTCCTTGAACAGCGCCCATTGTGGTTAGATAGCTAGTGAGTCCTGGGCAGAGACAAAATAGCTGCATGCTCCCGTTTCCTCCAGCGGCTGCTGCTGCTGCTCAGGGGCTGGGAAATCCGCAGTGCATCAGCCATGTTATGGCGACAGACTGAAAGCAGGGAGTGGCCCTGCAGGAGGAGGTGGGCTCTGCGGTCCCCTCCTGGAGGCAGCCTTGAGCGCAGGCAGGAGGTCTCCTCTCCTCCCCAGACAGGGCTGGATGTCGGGGTGTCCCCACATATCAAGGTGGTTCTTGCAGGATGACAACCAGGTAAGCCTGCCCTGGCTGCCATGAAACCCCACCCAGACCTCCTGAGCAGCACAGACTGATGCCTCTGACTGACAGGCACCGACCACACCAGGGGCTGGGGGAGAAGGGCAGACAGGGTGGGGCGACTGGGGGGCAGTGGAGGAGCTGGCCCTGGTGAGGGCGATGCAGGCAAGGGGCAGGGAGGCTGCGGGGTGAGAGAGGGCAATATGGCTGTCTTGAAAGAGACCTGGATCTTGCACAGACGCGCCCACACCTGCACCAGGCCGGCTCCTCGCACCCACTTGGTTGGTGATGCACAGCCGCACTACATCAACCCCTGTCTCCCCGAGACACCAGACAAGACCCTCATGGTACAGTTCGTCCTTTCTAGATGGTGCCCCTGCTGAGATAATTTATCTAACATCCTCTTCTGTGCAAGCCTACCGAGAAGCCTCTACAACATCAGTCACCCCGATGACATTGCATTTTTTTTTCATTCAATGGCAGACAAAAATACACAAATTTAATTCTTCACTGAGGCCACTGGATCGATATGACCGCAGCCCCTGTCCAAATTACAGAGACTCCTATTCCTGAGGGGAATGCCAATTATGTCTCCCAGAAAGGATGGTCCGAATGAAATTAAAAAGGGCCTCCGCTTAAAGGCACACGGCTCCGTGGCCGTCCGCACTGAGGCAGGTTGGGGGGCTTCCGGGGCCCATCGGAGTCCCGCGGGTTCGGGGCCTCTGTCTCCCCGCGCCCTGGCCTGCGCCCTAACCCGCACCCTCGAGTGTTCCGTCCCCGCCCCGCTGCTTCTCCCTGCGCCCAGGCCCGCATCCTCTCTCTGTCCGAGGCCCAGCCCCTTCCCCGGCGCTCCTACCGCCCGGTCCCTCGGGTTCCCTGCCCGGACCCTCCCCAGCGCGGGCCCACCTTGGCGCCGATCTGATTGCCGCACTGGCCCGCCTGGATGTGCACGATCTCACGCATGGTGCGGCTGCGGAGTGGAGGTGGCAGCCCTTGGGAAGCTGTGGGCACAGAGCAGACGGGTGGGGACCGCAGAAACAGCCACCTCGCCCCGGCTTGGTCTTTTAT